TAATAGATCTTGCTTAGATATTTCTCCGCCATCGATGTCTGAGGCTTGAATTACAATTTTTCCACCACAGCAAGCAGAAATACAGCGTACTTTTCGAAAAATGTTTCGAAGAGAGATTTGTGGTAAACCTTTACAGCAAGGCATCCTTACTCTTCAGAGGTTTGAACAAAATGAAACATCCAGTAATTATAGACTGATATATAAAGCTATCAGTGTGAGTGAGAGTGTTATTAAAATTGGACGTTTACTTCGTTTATGTTTGGGAATAGTAAAAATTCGACATGCCTCGATGGTTTTTTGTACATTGTGACGAATAGATTCCTCGCTATCATTTTGTACACATACCAAAGCTAAGTAGGCAATGATACAACCAAAGTTTGTTACCTTGATCTCTCTGTAGATTTGGTCAAGGTTTAGATCACGAACATTTACTGCACGATATAGATCTCGATGGCCGTCGAGAATTGTATTTATATGAAACGATAAAGTTTGCTTATCAATATCAATTTCATTTCGTTTCAACTCATCAAAAATTATATCTATGTTATCCATGATACTCTCACCACAACGATTGAACAACAAATGAGACACACAGTATTTATTTCAGTAAATATATGCAAATTTACATTAATTAACTAGCAACGTATTATTATTACAAGAGGTCTATTTTATCAAGTTCACTTGTTAAACCAAATCTACGAAATTCATCATAGGCCTCCTTAGTGTTAGATTTAGAACTAGTAAATGTCTCTCCTGTTTCTTCAATCATGTACTGGTATTGTAGTGGATTACTGAAGAGCACGATGCCAGTATTGGTCACCCGAGGGCCTTGTTGTTTCCATTCGAAGAAACCACAAGAGTCGTCCTTCGGACAGCAGTAAAACAGACGGTTTTGATTCGGACCATCTTTCTTGACTTTTCGTTCACAGCACACCATTCCATGTTGACATAACGGTCTTGGACTTTCGAACACGTCTCCCCATTGCCAGAACTTGCAGGAATTCCTTCGCTCAGAACATACGAAGAAGGGTCGTCCGTAATTATCTTTCATTGTGTCTTTGACCACACATAACTTGGCAAATTTCTGATGTGTAGGACATACGGGATGTATAGAACCACTTGCACGAAACGCAGCTACAGCTTTCGTATACATATAACAATTTTCGTCTGGGCAAAAGAACTCACAGCTTGGTTTTTCCCCACAAAACCAAAATGTACCATTGTTTGTAGTTGTAGAGGCAGCAGCTTTTCCGTGTAGACACTCCATGATTGATGTGGAACTAATGCAAAACTATGCTTGTTACAAGACGCTTGTCGATTTTATACAGACGCTCGTTAAATCAATCAACCATCATAGTAAGCCAACATTAATCCCTCCATTGTATCATACACGTGGAGAGACGCTAAAAAATGCCTAGTCAGCAAGTTTTGCCCGATCTTGTTTAAACCTGCCCGCGTGACGTCATTGCATATAATTATGACGTATGTTAATGAGTGACGTCATTACTCCTCCTCAATTGGACGAGTATTAATTATAAATGAGGTGGTGGACACCCACCACCTCAAAACTCCACCACCTCACACTCCACCACCTCACACCACCTCAAAAATCCGGATCGATCGGCCCCTACTATACTACTTATATATATATATATATATATATATATATATATATATATATATATATATATATATATATATATATATATATATATATATATATATATATATATATATATATATATATATGTATATATATGTATATATATATATATATATATATTATATTACGCTCCTTCACTTCGGTGTTGTTGAGCACTCTGCGGAGTTGTTAATGGGTGTCTATTAGCGATAATGCAAAGCTCACTTCCCTTGTGGCCGTTTGAGCACTCTGGCCCCATTACGCTGTGCGCATGTCTGGATGCGTTGAGTCACCGTGTTGTACCACATGCCTTGGTGAGAGCAAGTTCATGGGGTATAAATACGAGTGTCTCACGCATCTAGACGTGTACCAAGCTGCACTGACGAGGCGTTGCACGCCGAAACATGCATGTCTGCAGATTGTACTATATATATATATATATATATATATATATATATATATATATATAATATATAATTTCGCTTACCTCAAAATTCCGCCACAGTCTGTTTCATCAGGCAGTAAAGAATCATCAGGCGCCTGATGATTCTTTACTGATGAAACAGACTGTTGTGGAATTTTGAGGTAAGCGAAATCAGTCTACATTTGCTCTATCTTTATGATATTGAGCACTCTTCCACTCTTATATATACATGCATTCATGCCTACAGCACAGACTTACATTTTGTTGCCATTCATGATTTCGGCAAATAGAAACCGATTTCGAAAGTTCCGCGGTACTTTAAAATTTCTTTAGCTTCGGCGTAATTGCCTGTATGAATGTCTACGAAGTCTGTAGTCTTCAGTGATATTTGCCCATGGGCATGAATTTAGTGGAGATGGAAAGATAGTCCTTCTCACGTACTTTGTGTTTTTTTTTAATAATTAGAGTATTTTGCTTTTTAAAGATCTTTCATTATCTTGATACCATTGTGATAAAACACAATAAGGTCGTTGACCTTGTTAGGCTTGTAGGTTTGCATGTTAAAAATAAATATCATTGTTCACTTCGGTTTTGTGGACACGTTTATTTTAAATTTCGCCTCGGCTTTGACGAAACATTCTCTCCAAGACCGGTCTTCAAGATCCATCAGGCAGGTGTGTGGATCGAAAGTTATATTGTCAGTATACGGCAAAATATAAATTAACGCTTCCACAAATACCGAAAAATTTCCATAATTACATTTCCGGCATGCAATCAAACAAGGTTTTCACGGCGAGCGAAATTGACTATGTTCACGAAATTGAATGTTTACGAAATTGAAGTGTTACAATTTACTTGAAATAGTACAGCATGTTTGTGCCACAATGGCAGTTGCCTTAAATTAATATTTGGGGGGGGGGGGGGCTCAAGAATAAATCCGAATAAATCTGGATTGCTTTCGCACTTTTTTAGTTCCTTTGTGTGTTTTGCTTTACAAGTGAATTATTGGGGGGCTCAAGCCCCGCCAGCCCCCCCCCCCCTCCCCCCTCCCGACGACCTTGGTACTTCTGCAGACGTATATAAGAGGTTTTTGGGAGTTCTTGATTCAACCAAAACACTCGATGTAGAAAAACAGTTTAAAACTGAAACTAGTTATCCAGTAGAACTATAAAGTTATAGACATAGTGTCGTGGCACTGAACCCATGCATGCATGCACTTTCGGCGAGAACAGCAGTTTAGCACTGAAAGCCAGGTAAGTATTAAACATATTACCCTTGAGACTATTCCAGTCAATAATGCAAAGTTAATGCACATTGACGAACAAATTTTGTCACCTCCTCTTCCCCAGTTCAATGTTGTAAACAACGCCGAAACAACTTTTGGTAATTTACCATGGCATAAACTTAAGATTGAGTTAGGCGAGCGAGGCTTGTCAGGCTTAAGAAGCGGAACATAATCAAAATGGAATTTATCATAAAGGGTACGTGAATTTTGTATAGAGGCTCTGAAATAGTGTTTATAAAAAATGTTATGGTAAGACCATGCAAATATGGCCGATTCATGCAGATATATGAAGATATGCATGCCAATGTCTTCAACATTTTCCCGTACCTTAAACAGAAAACATTATTTTCAGCATCGTATAAGCTTTAAGATGATATACAGTATAACATGCTCGCACATATATGATCCAATAGAAATTTTTTGTGAAACATGTATGTCTCGATGGCTGGCGCGCACTTTATACAGACCCAACAAGATTGACAACGAATTGACAGTTCCGACGCTGCATAGTTATGTTGCTGCATCCCATTTTTGGGGTAAGAAAGGATTATAATTGACAAACTCCAATTCCGAATTCCCAGCTTTAGATTATTTTCCGGAGTTATCAATTTATTTTATAAGCCTATATATGCTCAAATACCTGTTTGTGCATGTATTTGCCGGTTTCGCCTTGAAAGAAAAGTAAGAACAATGACAATGACAATGTATAGTTTAATTTAGTTAACTTTTACGAAGTCTCAGTTCTATTCAGACTATAACCACGACATATTGTCTCGCCCCGGAAGCAATACTTTCACGCGATTATTTTAACTTTTGGCCTGGAATAATCGAGGAGGAAGTGCATTGTTATGGAGCGCAGAGGGGGAGAGATACGGAGGTGGTATAATTGGTTCAATCGTGCCTGATGCACAATGAATGAGTGAATATCAAGGTTAGTTATAAGCACAACTTGTAACAAACTTCAGCAGGCTTGTAGCTGCGTACCAATGCTGCTTCAACAACTTGTTGATGACAAGCCTAGGATATGAGTGAGTGGATGTGCTCGCACTGTTTGTTCCTTGGAGCTTCTTATCATGTTGACAAGTTGTCAACGGCTTGTTGCATGGCAATTTGCTACAATGTTGTTGGCTTGTTGGCAATTTGCTACAATGTTGTTGGCTCAATAGACTTGCTACAAGTTGTTCCAACCACTTGTAAGACTTGTTTAATAATCTGATCGTCCTGAAATTTAGCAACATCTCAACTAGTTGTGAGTGACTATCTTGTGGCAACCGAACTTGATAAAATTAAAAGATTATTCATTAATGTTGTTACAACTTGTTGACAAGCTCGTCACAAACCAGTTGCGAACATACACATCTTGTTGACAAGCTTGTGAGATCTTTACAAAGGCGTATTAATGGTGGAGAGAATTTAGGGGAACGGACAAAAATTTGCCCGACATGTTTATTGATAGATGAATAAAAGTAAATAAAAGGAACTCATATCCTAGGCTTTACAGATGCGTGGGAACAAATAAAGTCAATTTTAAAAGAATAAAACGACAAAAAACTCTTTTCGACGACGAAGATACCGGCGAAAACTCCTCACTCACTGCATGGAATTTGAATTTAATAAAACAAATTTCAATCTGTCAGTCAATTTCTTTGACTAAACATCTAGACATTAATATCACAAAATATATTATACCGAGGGCGAGGCGAGCAACCCTGGCCATAGCTAATTGTCCAATTTCTTAAATATAGAATCTGCCTTACTAAACAATGTCACTGATTAACTTAAAGTATAATAAAGTTCAATGTTAGTGAGAAAAATCAAATAGGGGATGTAAATGTCTTTTTGTCTGAAAAGCGATAAATAGTATATACTGTCTTTGTTCTGACTGGAACTGATATGTGTCCGAATGACGTCATAAGAAAAAAAAACATTTTCAGCATTCTAGAAACGCACGCAATATTTTGACTATTTTCCTACAAAAATATCATAATAGTTGAAGAAAAAGCAAACACAACCAAATTTATCTACATATTTTTCCCAACCAAACTTATCTACATATTTTACAGGGCAGAAATTGAATAATTCAAAATAGAAAGGGTTCAAAAAATGCCAAACATGCAGATTGCAGTTGAACTGCTGAGGCATTTTTAGTTCGTGACCAATACAAGGTCGAATCGTGAAGATTTTAATTCTGTAAAGCCGATGTGTCAAATACACACGTAAAAACGCACAAGTTATAACAAACTTGCAGCAGAGTTGTCGCAATGCTGTTCCAACAACTTGTTAACAGAATGTGTTCGCACTGCTTGTTCCCAGTTTGTTGACAAGTTGTTAACGGCTTGTTGGCAACTTGCTACAAGGTTGCTGAGCTCAACAGACTTGTGACAAGTTTTTCCAACAACTTGTTATCGTCCTACAATTCAACAACTTGTCAACAAGTTGTGAGTGACAACTGACCTTGAAGCAAGTTGATAAAATAAAAACATTGTCATAACTTGCGAACACATCTTGTTGACAAGTTGTGAGATATTTTCGTGTGTTAGTTGAAGACAGGGGTGGCGTTAGGCCTCCTTCAATGGGTGGGGGTGGAAAGGGGGGTGGGGGGGGGGGGACAGTGAGGTATAATATGGCCAAGTCATTAAGAGGTGGTTGCAAAACGCTCACCCATGACCGACGACGACAGATAAGCTTACACAAAAGTTGAAGGTACTACCACTAACCATAACCTGGCTCGTGACAGGATTCAGACTTTACCCTGCTTCTGTTATCCTATCGCATTAAACTGAATATACACTGGCGGTGAACGGCGCGTGTAGACGTCGTGCTTATCACCCGCATCGATTTGGCAGCAATTATATTTCCGTCCATTCTTCAACCCACACATACTAAGAAGTCAAGGTCACTTTAAAATTTTGAGGACTTCGTGTCGCTCGGGCTGGAGCGAGTAACAGGGTCTGTTTTGCACTTTTGCCACTCATTTACTGATTTAATGTTCAGTAAAAATTGGGTTAATATTTTCGGTCTATAATTAACTCTCCAAATGAAAGCTACGTTAAACGGCCATGATAATTCAATTCAAATGGTGATATTTTTTCTTTTAGTTTTCCTGTAAGTGACGTTTATAGTCTTTTTTTAAAAGATAGACTATAAAAAGGCTACGTTTCCACTATACCGGATAGCATTCCGTAGCGGCGCGAAAAAATTAGCATATATCCGATTTGGAATGTAAAACTTTCAGAAGCTGAGCGAAACAACATCTCTCCGTTGCAATGCCAATGATTCCTCTAAAAATAGCGTTCCTAAAAGGTACGGATACATAGAAGTACGGGGCTGATGCTTTCCAGGGGGGCATGCAGTTGAAAGTTTGCTCGAATGGAGGATTGTAATGAAATTACCTGAATGTAACCTATTTTCTGATAAATCTGCCCGAATTCTCTTGATTTCTTCTAGCATTTGCCCGAATTTCCATGGTTTTCCAAAAAATTTTTTGGGGGCCAGTTGCCTAACCCTGCCCTCCTGTCTCGTACGCCTATGTACAGATAGGTCGCCTTTCTTAACCTGTTATAATATAGAATTTACTAGTAATATATTTCTTAACCCTAAAATATAGTTATTAATTTTGACTTGTTGATGATGGGTTTGCCTCAATTACAGTAAATACACGTACAAAATAACTTCATCGATTTATATGGCATGTGTGATCTTGTTCGGTGTCAAATATCACGCAAGATTGGTATTTTTTATAAAACAATGTTGCATTAAACTCTTTTTAAAATTAAAGTGGTTTTCTGGCCAGCAAACAGTCGTTACTGCATGACGTCACAAAAACTGATAATGCAAAATACAATTGCCATTAAGTGACATAGAATTTTTCTTTTCTAATAGCTACTGCGGTTCAGAGACTTCCGATCATTTCAAATTTCGCCCAATTTCTTAACGGAAGTGCGTTAAACGTTCTACCGTGAGCTCTTTGCCTTGAACAAAAAACTACTTGATAATCTCTATAGAAACGGTGGGATCATGCATATCTAATAAGGTCAAAAATTGTTTAAGCACTTGAAAATTATCTTTGGCCTTATTTATGGATGGCAGCGTGCCGCAAAAACAATGTCTTCGTTTTAAAGTAAGTTAAAAGGACAGAAGGACAGAACAAATCATTGTCAGTTTCTAAAGTCAGTGAAGTCACATGAGGGATAACTGTTGTTACCATGAGATAACAATGTTATCAGAGGATAGAGTTAGTACAAGTGTACCCAGTAGCGTTTTTATACAAGAATCGACAACCCAGATGACACTACGAGCGAGGTAAATATTTATATATATATCGTTTATATTTCGTTCTATATGTGAATATTATATTATATAGCAGCATTTCGTACATTCTATAAAGCATTCCTGCTACAGGATTTGTGATTTTATACTTCGGAAGCTCGTGTTATTGTCAGACTATTAAATACGGCGAGTATAGCTATTGTCTGCAAATACAAAGTATATGACACTGTCACAACGATTTGTCTCGAAAACATTAATTATATAGCAGCATTTCGTACATTCTATAAAGCATTCCTGCTACAGGATTTGTGATTTTATACTTCGGAAGCTCGTGTTATTGTCAGACTATTAAATACGGCGAGTATAGCTATTGTCTGCAAATACAAAGTATATGACACTGTCACAACGATTTGTCTCGAAAACATTAATT